GGGGGGGGGGGAGGGAAGCAATGAAAGGGGCATTCCAAGGATGTATTATTGTTTTTAAATAATATATGCAAATAGTGTACAAGTTCTTTTACATTATCGCTATATTTTAACATGATATAGCAAGCTAATCATCATTTTTACTCGGTAATCAATGAATGATTATCATGAGTTAATTCCAGTGATAAGCTCCAATCTAATGTATCCTCTGCAATTTGTTTAACTGCCAAGATCTTGCCTTTTAATTTCTTTTTCTTTTTTCCTTCTATTTTATCATTTCCCTGTTAGGATGCAGTCTCTTGTAAAAAAGGACAGTCCGGTGCAATAAGCTCTCCCGCTATGCATGGGGTCCGGGGAAGGGCCGGATCATAAGGGTCTATTGTATGCAGTCTTACCCTGCATTTCTGCAAGAGGTTGTGAGGATGCAGTCTCTTGTATGGTTTATAATTAAATCTCTCGGTTGTGGCTTTTTATGGTAATTTCTTTTTCCAGTTGTGTGTATTTGCTCTAAATTTGTTTTTTCTGCTTTTATTCTATGGTCATCTGCATGTTTTTTTTTAGGAGGGACCATTTGAACGTGGGTGGCATTCTTACCTTTGGTATTTTGTGCTTCTTTCTAGGCAAGTTTGTTCCTTCATTTAACTTTGTTGCATTTAATAAATGTTGATGAACTAACAAAACTGCTGACTTTCTCTAATCTAAATTTAATGTAGTTCTTGTCAACAAAATTCCAAGTTACTGTTAACAAGAATACTGATTCTTCATTTTTAGGACCAAACACATCACACTATGTTTATTTGTCCAATAAATATATGGCATGCATCATGCATGTATCTTTGCATGGACTGTTATTTTTCTACCATAGTCAATTAATACACATTTTCATCGCAATTTAGTATTATTAACCATGGTAATTAAAGTGGTTTGACCTAAACATCGAATTTGAGTAGTTTTTTTTCCAGGCTGTAATCCTAAGAATGCCTTTGGTGCTACCCCAAGACAGTCTCTTTTGGTTTGTATGGCCAAGATTGATCTTACTCTCTTTCACTAGATACTTTTTGTGGTCAGTTCTATTTTTAAAGCAAAATCTAATACGCGCTCTGTGTCAAAATGATTGGTACTATTTTCTTATTAATTCGTTTTTTAAGAAGATTGAAATATTCCAATATTTTCTTAATGAGAAGATTTTGTGGCCACACAAATGTTATGATTATAAGACCACAAGTTTTTACTATGTTGATGTTGTTATTGTTTTACTTTTATATTACTAGATTTCTTCTCTGTACTGTTTGTATGCTTGTTTTGAGCCGAGGGTCTATCGGAAACAACCGTTCTACCTACACAAGATAAGTAAAATTACGGATTCACTATCCTCCCCAAACCCTACTCGTGGGACTATATTAAATTTATTGTTATTATTGTTGTTCTACGGTATAATTTTTCGACGAATCCGATTGAATTGCATTTGGATTAGGTTGCTCCGTCCTTTGACGTGATTAGCTGCATACATCAGCAGGTGTTTTTGACATCTCGTGCTAATCCAGAATAGGATAGAAACAAAAACTGAAACCGAACAGAATAAGGTCATCTGTATGCTCTAGTTTGGAGAAACTTATCATTTTTCATTTTAGCATTGTGAAAAGATGTGGAAAAAGTATCTCCATTACTCATGGCCACATCTGGCACTGTCAAAATAAACCCCACATAATTTGTCTTTCTTTCAATACCACAACCATATCATGTTCCATTTGTATAATAAATCTTTTATTCCAACATATAAAAGATACCCTATGCCCCCCTTCACTCTTATGCATTAATTCCTTCATTTCATTCCGTAACAATGGCAGAAAAATATAGTATAGGCTTATTAGGTGTCATGGATCGTCTCTGGTTTCACCAAATTATTCTCTTTTCAGAACCCTCATCAGTTTCATTTCCTGAAAACCAATGTCAATCAACTTTAGTTCCACAGAAAGAATTCTCATCAGTTGAATCAGAAAGCACTCTTCTACAGGTAACAACTTGTCTCCTAGTTAGGCTACTATTCTCTATATGCCCTAGCCCCTACCCCCCTCCCCNTCTACTATACTTTGTTGAGTGGATTTTATAAGATATACACCGCCAGTGTAAATAATATGTACACGATCACTGTAATTTAGTTGGTTATAGCCAGTGGAGGAAGCAGAAATTTACACAAGGGAATTAAAAAAAATGTTAGGATATCATAGTTGGCTTTGAATCTATGACCAAAGACAACTTTTGAACCCCTTAGCCATTACACTTTTTTTTTCCTAATCAAGGGGATTCAAAGCTCACGTACTAAAACGTGCATTTTTACCTTACTTGCACACTGTAATTTTTCCACGAAGGGGTTCTGTTGAACCCCCTTCACTGCACTTAGTTCTCACTCTATTTTCAAGATTATAATATTAGGCTAGATATGAAGCGTTATCTATTTTTTTATCTCAATTTTACGAGATGATGGGAAAAAATTTATATACTATCTTAAATTCTTGATGATTTAAAGTTGTCTGTATGTCATTCAAGGATGTTTGTGAAAAAGAAGAAGCCAATGAGAAGGAAAGTACTCAACCAAAGGAAAGACCAACAAGACTTAATACTACATCTACAAGAAACAGGTCACATTCAACCTCACCTTATAAAAAACATTCAAGAAATCTCTGTTCAGAAAGGAGAGTACTAGAAAAACATATGAGTTGCAAGAGCTTAGGGGAACTTGAGCTTGAAGAAGTAAAAGGTTTCGTGGATTTAGGCTTCATATTCCGGAAAGAACATATTAGCAAGAGAATGATAAGTGTAATTCCTGGTTTACAAAGACTTGAAGTAGTGGTGTCCGAAGACGAAGAAACCAACAATGAAGATTCAGAAGAAGAAGAAGGGCAGCCCGGTACACCAAGCTCCCGCTATGCGTGGGGTCCGGGAAATGGCCGGACTACAAGGATCTATTGTGCGCAGCCTTACGCAACAGAAGAGGAAGAAGAAGAAGAAGAAGATAAAAGGGAGATTGTAAGGCCATATTTATCTGAGGCATGGCTTATCAAAAAACCTGATTCACCATTGTTAAATCTGAGGGTACCAAGAATTTCTGCAGCTGCTGATATGAAGAAACATCTAAGATGTTGGGCTAAAACTGTTGCCACTGTAGTTTTGCAAGAGTCTTGATTTTGTGTACAGAAGTTCCAGGACAGGCACAATGTTTAATTATGATGTAGTCAATTTAGCTAAATATAATACGTAGCATTGTGCATCACATATATAATAGTGTTAGCAAATTTAATTTATTAATTACATTGTTTGTTGCAAATTGGAAAGGGGAACCCCTTGTTTTGTAGTATAGATTCTGCCGACAACTTGTAACTCTATAAATCTGAGTTGGTCTGGTCCTAGGGAAAATAAACAATATTCCATGTAATTTCTGTTATTCTGCACTTGGTGCTGGTTTTAACGCTTACCTTTTCATTGTTCGAACTGGCTGATTTAATTTTTTCGGTTAGGAATGTCGCACTAGATCAACCAAAGCAAAAGAGTATCACATCATTTCATTCTTAATTAGAATCTCCGTTCAAGCTTTGTAAATACGCATTCTTCAAGCTAGTGATTTTTTTATATTGGATAGCTAACCTGATTTTTTTGTCGTCCGTGTGTTGACTTGGGCCTATATATTGAAGAATATAGGGTGATTTAGGCAAATGTCACTTTTTAGCACCATTTAGATTTTGTCCGTATTTTTTAAGTTGTGGAAATATAGCCTTTGGAAAATTAGTCTTCCGGTCAACGCTAGACTCTGGGTCTAGTGTTTGCTCATATATTGTTCAATCTTATATGGAAAAAATTTGATTGTGGTTTAGCGTTTGCAATAACTTATAATGTTTTAGATCACGGTCTTACGTTTTCTCAAAATATTTTTTTTTGCTCAAAAAAAATCTTTAGATTGTGTTCTAAAGACTAAAAGGTCAATAGTTTGCAAGAGAAATGAAAGGACAAGCGAGCTAGGCTTGATTTGGACCTAAGAAGTCACTAGTAATATAATAGATGATCGGATCTAAATGTGTTGAGTTGGTGAAGAAGTGAACAAATTAACACCACCTGAGCTAAGGATGGTACTGAACCTATTAAGTCATTATTACTACAAAATAGATGGATCTAATTCTGAAAGTTCTTGCAAGTTATGCTATACTGTGCTTTCAGCTTAGTTTAGTGCTCAGTTTCGTGTCTTCTCTTAATTGGTATATTCCCAGTTAGACAGTTACTGCAGGCCCATATACCAACAACTTCCAAATACCTAAATTAAGATGTAAGAACCCTTATGAATAGGAAAACAAGTGGACACACCTACACTCATCTTGAAATCAGCGCGTTATCTAAAACTAAGTGTTATAGAAAAAGCTTTTTAGTACCACACCACATGCTTAGTCGATGGTTTAGTTGATTTGCTCCATTAGTCGCCATAATTAATGTTGCTAATTAACTTGAAAATATTACTCGTGCGGTAAGTGCGTGTTATAAGTCAACAAACATGATTTATACTTCACAAATTTGTTGTTAGTTGCACTCCCACTATATATGAAGTTTCCACTAATCTCTGTGGATCAAACACAAAAGCAGTGGACGAGAACTAATGCTTTTCGTACTAGTATTGGTTTAATCAACAAAGGTTTGACAAAGTCAAACCCATTAGTCCCTAATCAATGTTCTTCTCCTACACTATATCCCCTTTTTCTCCTACACATGGCTTCTCAGATTCCCCACCCAACTCCGAATTATATAATTGAAAAAGAAACAAGTGAAGGTTTTCAGGAGAAAAAGGGAAAAATCTCCTCATTCTAGAACTAGGGGTAGCTCCAAAAGTTCTTGTGTTGCCATGATTTCGAAATAAACATATAGCGGATTTAAAATCAATGGGTTGAGATTACTTAAATTAGATGGTTGAGGGTGGCACACGCAGAGGCGGATCTAGAATTTCTAGATCCTGGGTGCACCACTAAAGAAAGGAAGAGAAAAAAGTATTAAGTGAGAATTGATCTTTAATTCTTTGGGTAAGTAAAAAAGTATTGAACCAAGTGTATTATTCATCCTTCATGGATCATGAGTGCCAGTACGTGATATTAAACCAAATTCTTGAAAATACATAGTTTGACGAAGGGACCATGGGTTCACATGCCCCATAATTTAGGCTATAAATCGGCCCTGGGCACGCGGAAGCGGATTCAGAATTTAGAAATCTCAAGTTAATACTACAATGATCTGAGTTCATAGCCAAATTAATATTGAATCTCTTTGGCTTCTTTTTCCATTTATTTAATTTTAAATTATATTTTAAATCTCCTCATGAAAATGATGGTTCGCAACTGGATATATAAGTAGCCAATTGGAGAGTATACGGTTGAATCGTGTAATTAACTTATAATAGAAGTACTAAATCAAAATGAGCTCAAGATACAAATAAAAACACACAAACTGCTCGTGTATTTCTACATTAATTAGACAGGTAACAGTGGGGAAAAAAGAAATGTCAGGTAGGTGAAAACTGGCTATGAACTAGGCTAATAAGCAATGTGTCACTTGTTCTCTTAACTTCTGTTATTTGGTAAGTAGAAAAGTTGTCGAATAAGTAGTTAAAATCTTCCAAAGGAAAAACATTACCCCAAATTTAGTCTTACTAACAATAGCAAGATCTTTTTCAAGAAAATTAAGTCGAAACCATGCAGCCAATTAATATTATCTTCTGATTTCAAATTTCCTTTCTTTTCAAGCTAATACATGCAAGTTTGATATATATACTTTCTTAAGAAAAGAAAAAAAAAACATTTTTATTGATTTCCAGATATAGAAACGAAGTTAAGCAGACATGGAGATCCAAATATTCTCTAATACCACTACTAGAAATTCGGCAAAAACCGACCAAGGTCGACCGACCAACTTTGGTCGGTAAAAAAACCGACCAAAAAACCGACCAAAGTTGGTCTGTTTTTCAAAATATTTTTTTTTAATTTTTTTTTTTTACGAAACCGACCAACTTTGGTCGGTTTTCTTTGGCGCAAAAATGCGGGAAACTATTTTTGAGTCCCGCGAATTTTATGTTTCAAGAAACCGACCAACTTTGGTCGGTTTTTCAATTAATATAAATAAAAATTAATATTAAAAAAACCGACCAAAATTGGTCGGTTAATTCGGCGGGTCATTTAAAAAAACCGACCAACTTTGGTCGGTAATTTTACTTTTTAATAAAACCGACCAACTTTGGTCGGTTATTTTCGTACGAAAATACAATTAAAGAGTATAAATCAAATAAAAGACAGTCTTAAAACAAAATGTACCAATGATCTAGTGGTAGAATAGTATCCTGCCACAGTACAGACCCCGGTTCGATTCCCAGATGGTGAATCTATTTTTTACATAATTAAAATACCGACCAACTTTGGTCGGTTTTTTTTTTTTGCAATATTTTTTTTTTTGAATTTAATTGACCGACCAAAGTTGGTCGGTAATTTCCGACCAACTTTGGTCGGTATTCCTTTCCGACCACAAAAATACCGTCCACACATAAATGGTCGCATTTTGGTCGGTTTTTGGTCATTACCGACCAACGTTGGTCGGTTTTTACTAAATTTCTAGTAGTGTACGTTGTCACACCAAGGACAAGCGTCACAAGCCAACAACATTACTAGACATATTATTTTATAAAGTAGTGATCAACAATATGTAGTACATCAAATTCATTCCAACTGTAATGGAAATCGCCGGTAAGTTCAAAAAATTCGTTGCATAATCATACTGCGATAGTCTAATCTTTTTTCTGCTACTTGTTAATTTGGTTAAAAAAACATAGGAGTAGTGTAACTCCTGTACGTTGATAGTTGTGTACAATTTTGTTTCATAATCAAGTTAACATGACATACAACAATAGGTACTTTCATGCGTAAGTTGTCGGATCCTAAAAAAAAAAAGTTTTTTCGGGAATGCACTGTTCAAGTCGAGTTTTCTTTGTCCCTTCCAAGATACCCCTTCTAAGTTCTAACTTTCCTATTTCCAAAGGAAGGAAGAAAAGTCGAAAGCTCTCTTTAGAGAGCGTCTTCTGTCGACTCTGTGGCCCTACCACGACGATGCTAGTCCCTCTTTTAGTAGTAGACTCAGCTAGGAATATTCATGAAGAAACGAATGTCGGACTCTTTCATTCACGGCTAAACCCGCTCAAGAAGTTTCAACATGCTGAAACTTTCTGAGCCTTCACTAAATAACTTGCTATAATCATATAATGCATGAATAGTATGAAAACGTATATAACTTAAATTAGTATAAAGACTGCCGAGAAACAGTTGCTTTCGGTGGGAGTACTCCACGCGTGGGTGAATATATGTAGCCAAAAGGTCAAATATAGTGGCATAGTGGAACTACCCTTGCATTTTGATCCTTCTTCCACTTCCAATACAGTTATAGAAACTTTACTATATAAGGGATTTTTGGTTTTCTGGGAATTGACATTAACAGGAAACCAATACCTCAATATACCTAAGATATGGCCTCCAATAATCAACATTTCTCCCCCTCCTCAAGATTCATCATTCTAATATTAGCGTTACTCCTCCACATTCATTATGGTACTTCTCCCTTATATCAATGACAACTTAAAATAGCTATATGCACTGACAACGTAATAATATATTTTACAACATCAGTGTCATATGATTTGTTATAACAAGTTATTTATCATTTGTTGTAGCTGAGTCAGTGGCTCGAGGTCTTAAATATGATTCTCTATATATTGGGGAGTTCAACATTTATTTTGAATATCTCCACAGTTGAGTGTGAGTAAAGTTAAAGATTTTAAATTCTTTTTGATGTACCTAGCTAAAAGAATATGAGAATTTTCTAAAGCTTCATTTTCATTTATCAACTTCAATATTTTTGTTAGAACTAAAAGGACCTTTTTGTGTACACAAAAAAGTATCTCTTTTCCTTTTTCTAGTGATAAAGAAGAATACCTCTATTTTTTTTTATTTTTCTTTTCACCAGCAGAATATATACCTCTATATTATCATTATATTTAAACGTACTAAGTGCTGATTTTAATGGCCACAGCAAAAAGTGATCTCCAGTTAAATTACTACTCAGAGAGTTGCCCAAGAGCTGAAGAAATCGTCAAAGAACAAGTCATCAAGTTGTACCACAAGCATGGAAATACTGCAGTTTCTTGGATCAGAAATCTCTTCCATGATTGCATGGTTAAGGTAAATACATATACCCATCCACTGAAAAAAAGATTAATTAATGAGATTCTTGAGCTAAAATATGCCAGTTAATATACTATCCAAAGGCGAATTCAAAATATACACTTAAAAATAATATGTACAGTTGAACCTGTATATAAAAGAATTTTTTTTTGGCAGTCATGCGATGCATCGATACTATTGGACACAACAA